ACTTATATTTTTATAATATTTATATATTAATATATTATTCATATTTATTATTTTCAGGACAAATAATATTTTCTTTTTTTTTTTGGCAAATAAGAAATATTACATAAAAATGCTTTATGGGGCTGATTTATAAAAAAAATCCGTCCAGCCACACACTGGCCAAATGCACTCACAGCATTCTCGCCACTAGATGGAGCCAAGGAATGTCCTATGCTCATCGGCTCCATCTAGTGGTGAGAATACCGTACAAACTGTTGGAACTTCTTGCACAGCCTCACCAAGAAACACAAGCACACAGTATGATATGCATGCTGCACATGGCTTGGAAAACAGGAAAGAAGCCACAGCTTTATTCAATACAACAGAGAATCTACCATAGATATTTAACAGAACTTATAAACAGTGCCATCTAGTGACCGAAATTATATACTGCAGAGGTTGTTGCTATAAACACAGTAATGTGTATTCTAACACAAACAGCATTCAGCCATCAAATAAAGCAATAAATCATCCCCTATGTGTACCATTTAAAAGCAGCTGGTATAGCTCTGGGTTCCATTTTGCATGCTTACCAGGTTATCCTTAAAACAGGGGTGGGCAACTCTGGCCCTCGAGCTGTTGTAGAAATACAAGTCCCATGAGGCATTGCAAGACTGACAGTTACAGGCATGACTTCCAGAGGCAAAGGCATGTTAGGATTTGTAGTTAAAGCACCGCTGGGAGGCTGGAGATGCCCACTCCTGCCTTAAAGAAAACAAAGGCTGTTTAAAGCCCAGTCGCTGACCACCTTATATTTACTTTTACTGTTGAGCAAAACACCCAGAAGCATCAAAGAATGGGCCTCCTCCCATGATGCTGTACTCTGGGCTAGCCGCCATTCACATGACAGAAGGAATGACATCAATGCTCCCTGTAAGCTCCAACTCCGGGTATGTTGTGATGGCAGCAACAAAAGCAGCGGCGGTGCACTAATTGGAAACACACAATTATCTACAATGTCTTTGCATGATGCAGTATTAACAGCACCCTTCACTGCAAACACCTGAACTCAATCATTTGGAGATGTGTTCACATATTTTTGGCCATATAGTGTATATAGGTGCATTTCAAATGGGGATGAGCTCAGTGTCGGACCGAACCTGAGCTCATCCGAGCCCAGAAGAAAGCTGTCAGTGCCAATTAGTTGCTGCCAGAGTATTCTCTGCCCCAGAGAAGCATGTAAACAAAAGGGGCTGGTGACAGGATTGACCTTATATGGCTACATGACCATAGCTGGTCAATGACATGTGGCCATATAAGGTTAATTATGTCACCAGCATCCCACCCCTTTGTTTACGTGCAGCTGGGGGCAGAGGATGCCCCTGGCTGCAGCTGAACCGGGATTGACAACTTTCTTTAGGGATCTGATGAGCTTGGGTTCAGTTCCAATCTGAGCTCATCCCCAATTACAAATAAAGGAAAATAAGTCATAAGGTAAAGACAACTCTCAGCTAGTCTGTGCTGTGCCATGAAAAGGGAGAGGCTACCATGTTGCAAATTCTAAACCCATCTTGCGTTTTACAAGGGAAGATATCGATGCCACTAAAATTATAGGAACTTTCCGACACGCAGACTCAGACTGCAAGAGGAGGAGACTGACAAAGGCACTTCCTAGTTGGGTACAGATTTACCCGTAGCCTTCCTCAACACACAGAGCAGCTTCATTGTTACCAACCTTGCGTTCAAACTCTGGCTTCAATTCGTCTTCTGCAAAGATGTGAAATCGCAGCTTCTTCACACTGAAGAGCACGGCAGACTTCAGCATGGTCACCGTCTCCTCTACCCGATCGCCGCATGCCACCACAGCAAGATGCATCCATTCCACCGGGACGGAAACTTTGGGTTTTTGCTCGGGAACTCTGCAGCAAGAAAGAAGATTTTCATTTAGTTGGAATCTCGTTTAAAAGAATACTCCATCTTTGTGACCATGTTTAATCTAATACGCATATTAAGGGTGTGACATGAAACATGGTCACGTTCCTCAAACCACTACCATCCTCAGACCGCCCACCCTCCCCCGCTTATGTGATCACATTAAAAAATATATACTTTGAAGAGATTACCTTTCTCTTCCTGTTGTGTCTCCAAGACAGGAAGTAAGGTGAAATCCCTCTAACGGGACACACACACAGCAAATCAGCCAATAGGAAGTGTCTACCACCTACATGATATGGACACTTCCTATTGGCTGTCCAGTGAGGCGGTCCTCTCTGGATCCGGAAGAGGGGAGACATCAGCATGAGGCTACCAGTGGTCCCGAGCACATCTGCAGTGATAGATTAGCCTTTCCCTTCAGCCGGAAAGGGCTGCGGTGAGGGACCTGAATGGGGGGAACTTGCGGTGGGGGGGAATCATTGCCTGGAATGGGGCTTTAAAATCATATTACAATCAAAACGTTTTAAGCTATACCAAATGCTGATGAAATCACTTACAATGGATGCTGCTCCTTGATGATCAAGTTTTAGCTTCCTGTAGAATCAGCTGGTCCCCCGATATGTTGTTTTATGGTGTCTCCTTTCCTTTGCAGGGTCCTATGGGGCCACCCTTGTGTGTGCTAGTAAGCTGGGTGTGTCTCCACAAACACACAGGTATGGCAAGGCAAGCCATTCCCCTCCTCCCTGCTCCCCTCTCCTAATTCCTCTCTTCTCCAAGCTGGTAGTTGGCTGGCCGGAGACTGAGCCGTCCCTTGTGATCTTGTGCTGCACATGAAGTTAAGGGAAGCCGAGCTGAGAGAGTTGGAGCTGTTTGGAAACAGGAAGACTAAGTGCTTGGGCACAAATGTAAAGAAGCACATTGCTGGGCAATGTATATTTGTTTGATCCGGATTCATTATTGAAAAACAAATGGAGAGTTGAATACTACTTTAAAGGAGAACTATGGGGTTAGGGCTTTTCCCCATAGTTCTCCTAAGGGTAGCGGGAGGACACAAACTAGCGTCCTCCCGTCACCCAAAGCTCAGTATACCACGAGTTACAGGTTGCGGTGTACTGAGACGCCGCAGCTGGGACGGATCCTGACATTACTGTCTGGATCCACCCAGCTGCGTGAGTGACAGCTGGCTCTGCCTATCTAGAGGCAGAACCAACTGTATCCACCCCCTCCCCAGTCCGTTCCGCCAGTCAGGGCTGGAGGATCGGACAGGGGAGGGGGGAATCCCTGCAGGGAGCCGTGAGTGATGGCACTCTGCAGGGACATGATCGAGAAGTGAGCGAGCGACACTTCCTGATCGATTGAGCCGACGCGTGACAGTTTCATTGTCACAGGTCGGCTAGAACTATGAGGCTGAGTGATTTTCACTCGCCTCATAGTTCTCCTTTAACTCCTGTCCCTAACCTCTACTATGAACTTAACCCCTCGAATGCCATACTTAGCTTGCCATCACCAAAAGTAACAAGCCCTCCAGGCTGAGATCAGCAAAGAAAGCTGTGCTCAGAGATAGCAGCACCCAAAGCAAACAACATGCTTTGTATGTAACTCTAATAACGTCTTTTATTTCTTTATTGTAGACATGGGGGATCCTCGGCTCTTCTACAGCCTGACTTCATAGAGGTGCAGCTACTTTCTTTCCCTCCTGCTCCAAAACAATTCAGCCCATGGTTTTCATTCTCAAACAACAATAGATATGCAACTTCCTCTCCAAGTTGGCAAACAGTCACATTTTCTTCCCCTCTATATTGTTTTATCAGTTGACTGAGGGATAAAGTTACAAACAGGAAGGAGCCAACAAAGAAACAGTCGCATCACAAAGGACACAAGGCCACACATCGTCTTCAGCAGCAATTTATAACCGGCACAGGCTGCACATAGGTTCGGGCAAATCACTAAATTTACAAATTGGCATATTTATCAAAGTGCCTTAAAGTGTATTTCCACTTTTGCAGCTGAATTTGGGATATCATCTATATTTGTTACATGTTCCCCATTCACATGACATAAGCTGCAAACATTTTTTTTAAAGATGCGTCTTGCAGTTTAAATAGCTTTTTAATTTTCTTCTCCTTCTATACAATGTTAGGTGTGTCTGTAAGGGGTTTGTGTGAACTCTGTCTGCACTGTGCTGGCTCATTTCATTATAATTAATAAAGTACACTTCATGTCCCAACAAAGGGTTAAAGAGTTACAAGCCTGGCTTCTCCATTGTATGGTAATGAGAGAAACACAATCTGCACATTCGGGTACACATGGTATGAATTTTGACCAGTTCCTGTTGGCTCTCTTCCCCCCCGGCATCCCTCGATCAGCTAATTGAAGGAGTAGGTTGGAAAATTCTCAGCTGGAGCTTGCAACCTATCAAATGCTAGCTCCATTAGGGCCCTCCTTACCGTCTTGAATTGTATTGTGATTGTAATGTCTTCCTTATATTGTAAAGCGCTGCGCAGACTGTTGGCGCTATATAAATCCTGTATAATAATAATTATTTGGGTTTCACTTACGACTCATATAAGCTTTATCAGTAAACTTAAAAGGAGAACTATGAGGTGAGTGAAAATGACTCAGCCTCATAGTCCGAGCCGACGTGCGGCAATGAAACTGTCAGACGTCGGCTCAATAGATCGGGGAGTGAATGCATATCGTCGCTCGCTCACTTCTCGATTATCTCCCTGCAGAGAGCCGTGACCGTCTTTCCCGGCTCCCTGCAGGGATTCCCCCCTCCCCTCTCCGATCCTCCAGCGCTGACTGGCGGATCGGACGGGGGAGGGGGTGGTTAACAGCTGGCTCTAGATAGGCAGAGCCAGCTGTCACTCACGCAGCTGGGTGGATCTGGACAGTAATGTCGGGATCCGTCCTAGCTGCGGCGCTCTCAGTATACCGCGAGCTGTAGCTCGTGATATACTGAGCTGTGGGTCACGGGAGGACGCTAGTATATGTCCTCCCGTGACCCTTAAAAGAACTATAGGGAAAAACACTTACCCCATAGTTCTCTTTTAAAATGATGAGCTTTATCGCTGCATTTTTCTTCCCTCCCCCCCCCCCCCCCC